TTTTATCCTTCTGTAAATCAGCTTGTTGATTGTTCCAGACTTACATATTATGGTTATTATTTGTGAGATATGAACTCTGTGGAAGCTCTTACTCACTGCATATGTACAACTCTTATTCATGTGTTGCGTACATGCCTTGTCTGTGAGGTATGAACTCTGTGGAAGCTTAGTATACACATATCAATATATCATGTGTTGCTTACTTGCTTACATTAGATGGACCCTACTGAGTACTGACTACGGTTATCCAGTTATCCCTGTTATGTTGTTTGTTGTACATAAGTAACATAACTGCCTTATTATTTTGATGAAGAAGCCTTTTTCAACTCTATTACTCAAACGAGTACAAAGAGTGAACTGGGTTCTTCAGAGTCTGTAGAGAAGTGAAAAAGCCAAGTGCTTTTATCCTTCTGTAAATCAGCTTGCTGATTGTTCCAGACTTACATATTATGGTTATTATTTGTGAGATATGAACTCTGTGGAAGCTCTTACTCACTGCATATGTACAACTCTTATTCATGTGTTGCGTACTTGCCTTATATGTGAGGTATGAACTCTGTGGAAGCTTAGTATACACATATCAATATATCATGTGTTGCTTACTTGCTTACATTAGATGGACCCTGAAGAATGTGTGACCTTTTCTACATCTGGATCTCAACCTCCTCTGAGTCAAGAAACAGTGGTGGAAAGTCAAATTCCTGAGCCTAACATTACCAATGAGCAGACTGCACCACCTGCTGTTTCTGGACAAAAGAGAAAAGTGGTTGACAAAAGATCTAAGATTTGGGATCACTTTGATGAAATTAAGGATGAAAAGGGTGTGGTTATTAAGGGGAGGTGCATATACTGTGCAAAAATATATTGTTGTCACTCTAAGAAACATGGAACTTCCTCCATCAGAAATCACATGCTTAATTGCATGAAAAACCCCCATGCTAAAGACACTAGACAAGCCCTATTAACCTTCCAGCCTGTACCTCCACAGACAGGTGAACCATCTGGAAAGACTGGGGTCATGGGAACTTGGGTATTTGATCAACAAGCTATTAGGAGAGCTCTAGGTGAAATGCTAATCATTGATGAGCTTCCTTTTAGATTTGTAGACAGACAAGGTTTTAGGAATTTTGTTGCTGCAGCCTGTCCTAGGTTTCAAATTCCTTCTAGATGGACAATTGCTAGAGACATTTTTCAAATATACCTTGATGAAAAAATGACTCTAAAAAGGAATTTTAGGGAACAAACTCAGAGAGTTAGTATAACTACTGATACATGGACCTCTATTCAGAGGATAAATTACATGTGCATTACTGCTCATTTCATAGATAATCAGTGGAAGCTCCAGAAAAAAATAATTTCCTTTGTCCCTGTCACCTCTCACAAAGGGGAGTACCTTGCTAAAGCCCTAGAAAATTGCTTACTTGATTGGGGTCTGAAAAGTATTTTTACTGTGACTGTTGATAATGCTAGTAGTAATGATACAGCTGTTGGTTTTTTGAAGAAAAAATTAGTAGCCTGGGGTGCTTCTTCTGTAAAAGTAAAGTATGTTCATATGCGTTGCATTGCACACATCTTGAACTTAGCAGTACAAGATGGTCTTAAAGATTCAGACACTTCAGTCATGAGAGTTAGGGAAGCTGTTAAGTATGTTAGGAACTCACCTGCTAGGCTTCAAAAGTTCAAAGATATATCTGATTTGATAGGAGTGGAAGCCAAGAGTGGTCTGCACCTGGATGTTCCAACTAGGTGGAATTCCACTTACCTGATGCTAAAATCTGCAGTTTGTAATGAGAAAGTGTTTGAAGCCTATGAGGAGAATGAATCTGCATATAGTACTGATTTGGGTTCTGACATGCCTGATGTTTTAGATTGGATTGCTGTTGAATCTTTTGTGACCATTCTAAAACATTTTTATGAAATGACACTAAGAATTTCAGGCTCACTATATGTTACTTCCAATACCTTTTTTTCTGAAATTTCTGACTTGTTCCTTGTCCTCAAAGATATGGTTGCCTCTCCAACTGCTTCTGTCAGTGCCATGGGGAGTACTATGAAATCCAAACTAGACAAGTACTGGGGTGATCCTGAAAAGATGAACTATCTAATCTTCTATGCTAATGTCTTAGATCCTAGGGACAAGTTTGAGTATATGCCATTTCAGCTAAATGCTTTATATGGTGATAATAAAGGTGCTGCTTTTTTTCTAAAAGTGAAGTCAGGTCTAACTGAGTTATTTGTTGATTATGTTTCAAGTTACCCTGACTGTGTTGGTGGAAGTTCTAATACAACTTTTACTTCTGGAGCATCTATGGAGTGTGGTAATTCTGAAAATAGGCCTGTGTCCAGGTTTAAGGCTGATCTTAAAAAGAAGAAGCTTGAGAGTGGTCAGGTAGGAGTTAAAAAATATGAACTTGATATATATTTAGCTGAGTCCATAATTGAGGAAGATGGGGACTTTGATATTCTAAGATGGTGGAAGTTAAATAGTGAAAGGTTTCCTATACTTTCTAAGATGGCTAGGGATGTACTTGGTGTTTCCATTTCCACAGTTGCTTCTGAGTCCACTTTCAGTACAAGTGGTAGGGTTTTGGACTGTTTTAGGAGTTCATTAAGTTGTAAAATTGTGGAAGCCCTTATATGTGCACAAGATTGGTTGAGAATGGCTCACCAGCCTATCTCAGTTGAAGAAAACATTGATGAAGTAGAGAGGCTGGAAAAAGGTATAAGTTCAATGTATTTTCATGTATTATTTGCTTATTCTGAAGCTTATTGTTTAAATTTCAAAATTCTAACAATTCTGTTTGTCTGTTATAGAAATAATGGATGGAAATGTTGGTGGTGGAGATGCTGCTCCTACTGGATCCTCTATTGTGCCATTAAGTGTACAATTTCTATATTTATATTGTGCATTTGTGCCATTATGTGCTTGGTTTTCCATTTGAATGTGTATGAACATGAATACATGACTCTATGATTTGGCATTAGCTATGATGAAGCTTCCACTCATTACTGCATATTGGGTTTAGGGTTGGTATTGCTCTTTCAGTTCATAAAATGGTAAGTTGCAACTGAAATTGTAGCAGATGCCCCCTATTTCCCTTGTGAATGATACAAAGCATTCTGAGCTCTATGAAATGCCTGGTTTGTTTCATCATGTGCTTGTTTTTTCATTTGAATGTGTATGAACATGAATACATGACTCTATGATTTGGCATTGGCTATGATGAAGCTTCCACTCATTACTGGTACTGCATATAGGGTTTAGGGTTGATATTGCTCTTTTAGTTCATGAATGGTAACTTGTAAGTTGTAACTGAAATGGTAGGCTATAACAGATGCCCCTTATTTCCCTTGTGAATGATAATAAGCATTCCGAGCTCTATGAAATGTCTGATTTGTGCCATTATATTCTTGTTTTTCCATTTGAATGTTTATGAAACATGAGTACATTGCTATATGATTTGGTGTTGAACCTGCTGCCAATATGAGTATAATGTATTACACTATTATGCGCTTGTTACATTTGAATGAGCATGATTCTGTCATTCTGGAAAGCATGCACATGCTGCCAAGTGCCAACTATCCCTGGACCCTTGTACCTTGCTCTGATTTGCAGGTTTTGTGTAAGTATCTCATAATCCCATTAATCCTTTACTCTATCATTTCTATTAATTTTCATTGGCTATGATGAAGCTTCCACACATTACTGAATGTATGGTTTAAGGTTGGTATAGCTCTTTCAGTTCATAACATGTAAGTTTTAACTGAAATTGTAGCAGTTGCCCCTATATTCCTTGTGAAGGATAACAAGCATTCTGAGTCATTGAATCAATGATTTCTCTGATTTGTTTCATTAACTTATCCTTGTTAAGTTGTTATTGACATATTGTACTACTCTACTACATGTCTATTGCTTTCCATGTGTTCATTAACTTTCTTATGCAGGTGGAAACTTCAAACTGTGGAAGATAGTTGTGGACTTGTGGAACTTCAAAGTGTTCAAGCATTTTTGCATTTTTGTGTACTTGACTAGTTGGAACTTTGTATGTTAATGATTAATGAACTGTGTAATTCAGTAATCTGTATTTTGTAATATGCTAAAACTCTTTGTTACAATTTTGATCCCCCATACTCTTTACTTTGTAATATTCACATTATTTATGGCCGTATGGCCGGTATGGGAATCAAATTATGTTTTGCAATTGTAATATTTTAGATTTACTGGTGTTGAAATTACAAATTATTTTGCAATTTCAAATTATTTTAGTTGAAACTTGAAACCGACTAAACCCGATACCCGATCCGAACCCGCCCTACCCGAAATACAATAAAACCCGAAAATATCTAAGTAAAAAAACATAGGGTAGGATATCCATATTACACATCCGAAACCCGAAAGGGTATTGGGTTCACCCACCCGCCCGACCCGAACCCGCCCGATGCTCACCCCTAAGTCCAAGCCTAATTAAAAGGGATGCTTCCATTAGGATTGAATGTGTGTTGTGTTCATTAAAGTTGTAGGCCTTTTGGTTAACTTTCTAGTGATATGATATAAAAACGAGTTCTAGGGGATAATGCTACTAGTTGAGTCGATGCATTATGTAACAATAAATGGAGATATATACATGACATTTGATATAAAATGGGATGCATTTATGGGGATTGTCATACATTGAGATGCATCGAGGTATTATGGAATTATTTCTACTGCACTGTTGTATTGATTGAACAATTTTTCGTGACATATTGTAAGGAAAATGCAACGGGTCTGACCCGACTCAACTCGGGTCAGGGGCGGAGACAGAGAAGGGCCAACTTTGGTCCTGATTCAACTCAAATTTAAAAAATATCTTAATTTTTATTGTAAAAAATTTCACGAAAAAGAATTTAAAAAAATTTTCTTTGTATCGACTCAGCCCGATCCAGTGTTCTGGCACGTGGGCAAAAGAAGTTAGGAGAGTAAAAGTTATGGAAGCTAAGTTATGTTTTTGTATTGGGGTTATGGTACAAATTAGAGATAGGGAGGGGGCAAAAGGAGGACGAAAAAGAAGCACAGAAAGGAACGCAATTGTGACAACTAATAGGGAGGGGAAGGTCTGTGTATATTAATGGTGAGACGAGAGACAGGCAGGACACAGTGGAGTGCTCTGTAGTCACGCAGCTGTCATTTGGTATACAAACACCCCCCCCCCCCACCCCACCACCCACCTCTCATATGATATCCTCTGCTTCTTTCTTTCTTTCAGAAATATAATCCAGCAAATAAGAGCATAATTTAATCCGGCCCTCTCAGTTCTTTTCTTTTCTATAATAGTTGTCTACTTTCACCGAATTAAAGCTGGCTTTTGCGAGGCTGAATCAATAAAGGCAATTCTGCTAGCTAAGCTAAAAGCCTAAAACAGTCGGGGTATCTATATATCTATATTCTGTACTAGCTGGTTAGTTTTTCTCGGTGGATGATCGAATCTGAGGTATGGCTTATCAGCATTACCGGTCGCCGTTCGGCGACACGACGTACACGAAGGTCTTCGTCGGAGGTCTGGCCTGGGAAACTCCGACGGACGTAATGCGCTCTTATTTCGACCAGTTCGGCGAGATTCTGGAGGCCGTTATCATCACTGACAAGAATACCGGCAAATCCAAGGGCTACGGATTCGTACGTCTTTTCAATTCATCTATACATTCACACACAAACACAGTCTTTTTCACGGGACGAATTGCGTGACGAGGTTTACTTCATTCTTTGGCCGTTTGATTTTACAAAAATAGAACAAAAAGTATAAAAAAAATTTTTATTCCTATTTTGAATGTCCTAAAAAGATTTGTCATTTTCATTTAAAGTAAGAAATGTGTGGTTAAAATTAATTCTCTCTCCTCTGCACAAATTTCAATTACACATTTTTTACTTTATTAATCCACGTAAAAGTCAACTTTGGTCAATAAAGGACAGACCATTTACACATTTTCATTAAAGGATTTAACTTTATAATCATTTTTGGGTGATATTAGACTTTATACTTCATTTTTCAGAATTAATGACGACAGACCATTTAGGGATTTAGCATGAAAGCATTTGATTTTGTAACTCTATTTCTTTATCATTTTGGTCTAATTGAATGTATAGATTAGCAATTCTGAAAATTGGGTGCAAAGTCGAATATGGTATAAATAATGGGCGTAGTCAAATTCTTCTTTCTTAAGAAATAATTAGGTATATCTATGACTGAAATAATTGTTGTTTACAAAAATATCACATTTTATGTGTAGTGACTATAGTAATTATAACTTAGTTATAGTAACATATGTTAAGTTTTACTCTTAAATGACTATAACTATAGTACAGATTACATATTAATCATATTTTTAAATAAGTTTCATTTTAGTTATATTTAGAAAAACCTCCTTTTAATGACTACTCGAATAAGTATTTCAGAATTGACTGATGATGTATTATTAGCTGTTAAAAATATGTATAAAAAATATGAAAAAAGCTATATCCATTGCTCGTCCTAACACTTTTGTCATCAAGACAATCCATTTAAAACCTATTTTCCCATTTTTTGACCTTTTGTAAATACATAGATCCACTCATCACTATTATAAATATTTTGTCGACCATAAAGTGTAGTTTTTAACAAATGGCAACCGTTAAGTTTGAAATTTGATTTTAAGAATGAATTTTATCAATTCAGGACCCGAAAGATAGATGAATTATCAATCCGGGACCTGAAAGATGAAATGTATCGATATAAGACCCGAATGATGGAAAATTATCAATTTAGGACTTGAATGATTGGAAATTATCAATTTAGGACCTAAGCTGTCCGAAATTTTATTAATTTTATTATCTTTAAATTTTCAAATATTATTTATTTTATGAAACTAATAAACTTTTGTGAAGAAAAGTTTATAAAAAATTAGCAATGGAATTTATAAAAAATTAAATAAATCAAAATCTATGAAATTTTAGGTCCTAGATTGATAGTTTTTCATTATTCGGGTCCTATATCGATAGATCTCATTTTTTAGATCCCGAATTGATAATTCATTTATCTTTCTTATCGTGAATTGAATTTGCAAAAAAAGAGTCGGTATGACGCAATCCTGTTTAAAGACTGACATGATCATTTGTATATACACGAACAATACATACGTGTGTGTATATTTATTTATGACGGAGTACATAAGTACGAGGTTTAGATTTCAACGTCGTCGTCGTTGCGCCAGCTGAATCTTCTAGAATCAATGAATTCAGGTAACGTTTCGCGATCCCGAGTCAGCTCGGAGAGCTTGTGAAAACCCTAACCCGGTCATCGACGGCAGAAAAGCCAACTGCAATGTTGCTTCCATGGGTCGTCCTCGCCCTTCTCCCCCACGAGGTACATTCATTCTATAAGCTCTTTCCATCCAAAATTGTATATTTTCCTTTTTCATTCATTCGTCACAAAATAAATTCCAAATTTTAATCACAAAACTTTATAATCCATAATATGTATTTTCATTTTCCATAGCGCGCTATTGACCACAATTAGACCTTCAATGGATCGGGACCTGGTTAGAACGTAGTGTCTAAACCTGGTGACCTGGACCCGCTAATCTAATAAAGGATTCGTCACGTAATTTGATTTTGGATCAATCACATAACTTGTCTTTTCTTAATTTAGTTATAGGGATTAATACAGTTTCGCACGACTCTCAATCACATAATTTGTCTTCGTGTATATGCGTACCAATACATATAGGAAGAAGTCAAGGAGGGAGTCCATACCAAGGAAATGTAGTGGCAGGACAAGGAGGTGTACCGTCTTCTTCCTATAGTGGAGTGGCAGCGGGATTACCTCCGCCGCCCCCACCACCGCCAGTTATTTATCCGCCGTACGGGTAAGTTTTTGTACCTAAAATTATCTTTTTAATTAATGATGTACGTAGTTGTTTATTTAATTATTATTCATTGCTTTGGTTGATGGCGCTAGTTAATGAAACAAAAGTGGCCCATGTGAGAACACTGCCTGCCAGTGGTGATATGTATGTGAAGGGGGGAAACATGTATACATCCAGGTTGTCCTGTTCGATGGTCCGATCAATATAAGATAAAAGAAAATATAAAATAACTACTAATAAAAAAACCATAATTGAATGCAGACCGATGAATAATTAATTATTTTGTTCATGAGTTGTCAGTAGCAGCGAACATGCACATGTTTTTCTTTAAATTATTACCATCCGTATGCTTTTTTTTAATTATTACTAACGGTCTACCACCATCAACCATTGTATAAATCTATAATCCAAGTTTGATAGGACAAGAAACCAAGTAATCCTCTATTTTTTCGAAAGAAAGTAATGGGTAAAATGAAATCTCGGACCATCGATGTTTTGATCAGACGGTTCTCGAGACTGAGCACGGTGCCTTGCTTTGAAGTATGGCAAATGTTCCAGATGCTTTGAAGCACGTGCACTCACCAATCTTACAAGTTTTCTCTGACTAATGCATTATTAGCTGGTTAATTAAATTAGTTTATACATAAACCCATAAGCAGGGATGGAGACAGGGAGGGTCTGGAGGGGGCCTCGTCCATGTAAGAAAAAAATTCTTAAGAATATATTATGTATATGTACTTTCAATGTATAGAAAGTAGGTTGATATTTTAAACTTTGACCCCTATAATGTACTACGTAAATTTTTTAATGATCAGCCTCTTTAACCATATGTTTCTGGTTCCGCCACTGGCCATAAATAATGTCCGCAAACAAGTTTAAACAAAAATGAAGCCATAAAACAATAACGATCGAGTAGCATAATTAATACGGAGTACTCCCTCATGAATATAATAACCAACCTATAAGAGTTTGATATATTTCAAAACATTACATAGAATTATAGAAATATGGTTACATTGTATCTATTTGTGATTACTTATAGGACCACGACAAATATCCATACTTTGTATCTTCTTTCAAAGTATTCCTTTTTCCCCAATCTTGCATGGAAAAGGGTGGCCCAAGCACAGACCATCTATGCTCTCTTTGAAATGCTGTATGTTTTCAGATTACACAAACAAAGTTGTACGAGTGAAATTTAATTTTATGTTAGGTTAGACGCACATTGACATCTTCACTGCCTTTTAAGTTAAGTAAACGTGATAGCATTTACATCAAAGGCCAATGTATGTCAAGTTAAATTTAAATGTATTACGGCCGCGTTTTAGATCGTATATTAAGAGCATCTCGAATGTAACATAATATTCAACATCTCGTAGGCAATCTTTTGTTTGTACTCACTATTAGGTTTTTAACACTACTTGCATAATTGTTAGGATTGACCAAGAGTTTGATCTTAAAAGATCAACATGATAGCTGGAAAAGACCATATATAATCTTATACTCCGTATATTTAAGATTTTAGACTAATCTAGTGAGAGACAAATAATTCAACAATAACGCATGTAATGTCTTGTAAGGCTGTATTTAATAAATTTCTCCACTATAAAGACATTCTTTCCTAAAGTTTAATTTTTGGCACAAACCACGTACATTAGGGAAGTTGTTACGATTTTTTCTGGCTGAAATACTACTACCTCCGTCCCAATTTGATTTGCAAATTTGACTTTTCTTGTTCAAACAATTTCATTTTATTTGCTTAATTATGATGTCAATTTTTAATTATATTCTAATTTGGAGTTTACAACTTTGAAGAGATTTTAATTTAGTTTCTGAATATATAAATTTTAATTATTAAAAAATTGAATTAATTATCGATAGGGAATATTGACTTTTTTTATTGGTTGACCAACAAATGTTGATTTTGCAAAACAATTTGGGACGCAGGGAGTAGTACATTGCCTTGGAAAATTGTGATGAACGTAAACCCACTCCCTCTGTCCCAAATAGTTGTTACCGATTTGTCTTGTCACGCTTATGAAGAAATTAATAACAAAATGAAAATGTATGGTTGTAATTGAGGAAAAAATATATAAATGAATACTGTTAGTCTCACAAATCCTTTCATAATAGAAAACGGATAGAATTTTTCGAAACATTCCTAAATAGTACTCTGCGAAGAATTTTATAGGACGAATAGAATATTTATTAGAGAATTTAGGATCTCATGATATATAGACATGTGTATAGTTATCCAACAAAATCACCCGTCCTTGAGTAAGTTACAAGACTGCAAATCCAGTTACCTGATCACATCGACTAGTACTATTTTAAGGAGTGACTTGGTAGGTAGACAGCTATATAGATATGCTGTCTAAAAAGCGTTAGCCTTCGTCTTATGATTCTTTGGTTTCCACATAAACAAGTTCGCTTGGGCACAAGGTCTACACTAGAGACGTGGATATGGTTGATAAAAATGATAAAAAGCATATAAATCTGAGTTCGGGGTCCATCCAGGAATAATCGATAGTTAGGATTATTAAAAGCAGACCGACAATAGTTAAGATTATTATTTTCAATTTTTCCAAAAAATAAGTTTTCAACTATTTTATGAATATCGTGTCAAATCAAAACACCATATAAAAAAGGGATGCAAATAGTAATTACTTTCTGTATACTCCCTCCGTCCCGTTGGAATGTTCCCGGTTTGACCTACACGCATATTAAGGAAATAAACTTACCAGGGGTAAATTTTACTGTTTTGACACTGTTTCGACACTGTTTGGCACTATTTCGACACTGTTTGACACTGTTTTGCACTGTTTGACCCTGTTTTGATGTAGGATAACTTTCTATTTAGAGAAATGGGAACTTTCCAACGGGACATCCAAAAAAGGAAAGCGGGAACATTCCAACGGGACAGAGGGAGTATTATACTACCTCCGTCCCATAAAACTTGGCCAACTTTCCTTTTTTGGCCGTCCCAAAAAATTTTGCCAACTTTTCTTTTTTGGTCGTCCCATAAAACTTGGCCAACTTTTGTGGCTAAAGTTATTTCTTTCCTCTTACAAATATCAACCACACAGATTATATTTTATTAATCTACGTGCAAGTCAACATTGGCCAAGGGAGTACTACGTACTCCCTCCGTCCCAAAAATACTTTCCGGTTTGAATTGACACGCTTATTAAGAAAATGGAATAAAGTCGAAATGTATGATTATAGTTGTGTAAGAAAAAGGTAGAATGAATGTGAATCACACAAATTATCCAAAAAGGGAAAGTGAGAAGTATTTTTTGGAACGGCTCAAAAAATATTTTCATTTTCATTTTGGACCGATGGAGTAACTATTTTCATTTTCTTAGATTCTACTTTCTTGATCAATGACACTTATTCAGGAAAGTGATAAATTTGCATGTGAATTTTGACACATACTTTTCTTAACATTTTACCCCGTACTTTATTTCTTTCTTAACATTTTACCCCGTACTTTATTTCTTTCTTAACATTTTACCCCGTACTTTATTTCTTTCTTAACATTTTACCCCGTACTTTATTTCTTTCTTAACATTTGCATGTGAATTATTCAATTATTTCAAAAAGAAGAAAAACATTTGCATGTGAATTTAACTTTCTTTCTTAACAATTACTTTTGCTGCAGGTACGCTGCCTACCCACCGGACTATGGTTACCACCAAGTGAGTACAGTAACTGACAACCCCCCCCCCACCCCACCCCACCCCGCCCCGCCCCCTCCCGATGTTTATATTTGGCAGTAAATTTGTAATAAATCTAAATCAATAAGAAGGTTAAGGTAAAAAGTGGTTGTGGGTGAAAGAAAAATTGTATTTGTACACAAAATTTGTATATATAGCAATTTGTACACATATTTGTACGTAATCATCTGTGCATACAAATAATATGCACACTCCTAATAACTTCTTGTGCATACAAATAATTCATGCAAATTGTACTCTGAAATAAATACAAAATTTGTGTAAATTGTTGAATAAGAATTCTGTATGAGAAGAATCGTTGAATAAGAAGTGTGTATGAATTCGTTGTTTGTAAAAATTGCAGAGTATTTACAATGCGCAGTTTCAGCAAGCACAGTATTACCCCCATCATCATCATCAGATGTATGGGAGTCCATCATCTTCATCATCATCATCGGGTATGGGGTCTCCATTATACGGCGGGTATGGTGGATATTCAAGCAGGGGAACATTTCCTGCAGCTACAACTCAACGTTTCCATGGGGCCCCGCCTTACGTTTATTACCACCCGACCACTCCCATTCCTCACCAAATGGATGCCTCCGCCGCCGCCGGCACCACCTATCCTCCCCCCTTTCTCCAACCTGTACCCAGGCGTTCCCTCCCTTCCTCGTCAGGTACATATATATTTTGATATTTGGTTTTTTTATTAGTACTTCCTCTCATTTGATATGTCTTTTTTTATTTGACATAATTATACATTTATAATTAAAGTGGTCGAAAACATGAAAGTTATGATAAAGTCAAGTGTAGTGTACTCTGCTCTGCTTTAGCTATTTGATTCAAAGATACATTAACATTTATTCATTAGATATTGTAATTCTTTCTTACTTTATAAACATGACTAGTTGGAATCAATCACATAGTTCCACATTTTTTAATAATTACACCATTCTGTCATATCCCAATTTCAAGGTAGATGTAATATAATTTTAGTAACATGCACATTGTTGTCTCTGGGCTTTGTATACATTTGAGTGATAATAATACCAAGTTTCCCAAATATGGCTCTCATTCCTTCATTCCTAATACTACGTACGATAGTATAAGATTAACTCTTTTATAATGAGAAATTTTAACTATTTACTGTACTTTTTAATAGAACTAGACAAATCCTATTATAATACTCTCTATGTCCCGCTACGATTGTCTCATTTTACATTTTTGGAAATCCCATTGAGACCGTCTAATACCAAATTTGATAAAGTTTGTGTGACTTTAAAAATATTTTTACTTGGTCTGCAGTTCCTCCCTGATCAGACCAGATCAGACTAGACCAGACCAGACTTGGATAGTTATAAAAATACATAAAAACCAGACCAAACCAGACCAGACAAGTTCAGACCAGATCAGAACAGACCAACAAATTACAGTCCAAGTAAAAACATCCTAAATCATTTCTTACTTTATTCTTACTTTATCAATTCAATATCATTCCCAGAAACCGATTTTTCCTAATAATTGTGATATCCCAATGTTAATGGGACGGAAGTAGTAACATAATATCGTTTATCCCATGTTTTTTTAATCTTCTCTATGTTTCATTCCTTTTTTGATCAATTTTGTTTTGGTACTCTAACTTTGTAAGTTTGTAGAGCATTAAATATGGGACTTGTAACGCATTTGCTTCTCCAAATTAAACTTTGCACTTTGCTTCTCCAATTTTGCTTCCATTGTACTCCCTCCGTTCCAATTCTATTTTCAAAATTTCCTTTTTTGGTTATCCCAAAATGGTTTTCCATTTTCTATTTTAGATATGTAAATAAGAATAAAGTGACAAATTTACCCTTACTTTTACTTCTTCCCTATTAACTTAAAGACATCTACTTTTAGAAAGATATCTACTTTTAGAAAGATGGATAAAAATGTAAAAAACAAGCATCATTTATTATCATTTCTTAATCTTTGTGCCGATCAAAGTTTGCAATTCAATTCGGAACGGAGGGAGTATATTTTATTTGCCTTTAAAACAAGTAAAAAACATAGTGGGTAGTGGGGTCCAGTAGCGCATGTGAGATGAGCTGGCCAGTTTAATGTTATGAGCCACGACCGGTCAAACGAAAATCATATGCCAGTGAGGCATGGGGCGCCACACCATATGCCACTGACAGGCGTCCTGGTTCGGCCATTCAAAGGTGTCCGGGATCCCTTTACACTTGTTACGGTACTCTTCACGTCCAAAAGGTTGAATGTGATGAACGGACACTAAGGGAGGTTAATCACGGTGACTCAGTCGTCCAAATGACGACCTTTGACCTTTACCACTGTGCTCTTCACCGTAGTGCGTGTAAATGCTTGTTTTCATAATTTAAAGGATTCATTCGTTTCAATCATAGTTTATCAATTCAAAGGTTATAAATCATAATGTTAGTAATAACTGTAATATCATACGTCTTCAAAAATAATTTTGTTTCTAGGTTAGCCGTGTCTAGATTTAGTTCAAATAAAAATAAATGTCCTATGTAATAGTCCAAAAACATTCAAATATTATTACCTTCGTCTCACTAATATTGGGATGTGAAGGAGTGACACGATTATTAAAAATTAAGTTTATGTGATTGATATTGAATTGATAAATTAAAGTAAGATTAAAACAAAAATGATTTTGAATCATACATACTTTACCAAATTTAATACGAGACAATTTTAGTAGAACGGCCTGAAAACAAAAGATAAACAATCTTAGCAGGACAGAGAGATTAGTGCCTTCGTCCCAATTTTGTTTCCCATTTATCTTAAGGGATGTCCCGAAAAGCAAAGTATACTAGTTATTCTTGTTCTTAACTACATAGGCAGTAATTGATTGGCGCCCACCCTCCATGCAGAACCACAGACTCCTCAGCAAACCTCAGCTGAAACAACCGAAGTTGAGGCTGTTACCTCGGAGAGCCCGAACACATACATTAACTGAAAAGGACATGCAGAGCCAGGGAAGAAGAAGTGGCATGGAGCTCAACAAGCCATGGGCATGCAGCTTGATGACAGATTAATCGTGGGAAATTTTCCTGAATAGGAGTTAACAGGTTATGGAATTCTTAAATAATATTGTTATGTTGTTTTTTCGGAAGAAACACATAAAAGTCCTATTTTAGAATTTCAAAACCCGATTACTCCTATTTCGGGAACTTTTCCATTGAACTTTCGAATGTTCAATTTGTACAATACTTAACAAAATGGAGCCGTCTTTCTTCTTCATCATCATCTGCTCTTTTTTGGGTCGGGGCCAAGCCTCGGAAGCAGGAATGCATCATCTCTGGCTTCTCTTCTCACTCAAATCTTACCTGTAATGGCATGCATGCCAAATTCTTTATCATCCTTAGATTTTTAATTTGCCCCTATTTTTATTTTTGAGAAGAAAATTCTCGGTTCATTTTTTCTTCTTTGTTAATCTTCAGTAAACTTCTTTATTAGTGTATTATGAATTGAAGTACTATAACACGGAAATTTATTGTTACCTTAATAAACGAATTATGTTGCCTTTCAAATGATTGCGTACAGCACTGTACATTTGTACGTAATATTACTATTCACGTAGTTCAACTATTAGTCTCAATTGATTCATTTCATTGAATGCATGGTTTTAGTCAAATACTCAAACTAAGTGCATGTATTCCCGATCGAATGTAAATAGAAAAAGAAAGAATGAATAGCGGCGATCGAATGTAAATAGAAAAAGAAAGAATGAATAGTGGCGATCGAATGAAGAAGATGATGAACAGTGGTGTAGAATTAGGGTTGAGTGAATGAATATTTTAGAGTTTACAAGCCTCTCAAGGGAGCACATATATATAGGAAAGTGTGAGTTGCTTCTATGGATTTGATAGCTCCAACTATATAAAAGGCTACTATAATGGTTGTAAATGAATATGTGAAGTATACAATAATATGAAAGATATTTGCTAAGCATATTTGAGCCATTGTTTAAACTCGATTATCACAAGATCGGGATCTGAGTTCCTATTCTATCTAGAATCCATCAGGGAAGCAATCCAACACGAACACATATGGCTTTTCTTTAAGGATGGAAACTCTTGAGAGAGATAAGTAAAATGGAGATGATGGCGCATATGGCTTTGTTTTTAAAAAAGAAGCTCTCAAGAAATCTAAAGTGAACACATATGGAGTCTATCAATCCTCAAAAAATTCCAACACTGATCGACATAAATAGCGACCGACTACTCGACCCAATATAGTAAACCTGGTTGAATACGGGGTGAGCCCATAAATAAGATGGACGAGACGAGCACGAACATCAAATCCGGGGAGAGACGTGGCCAGTGCACTCTCCAATGAAGAAGAAGGTACGATGTGAGCCTATATGTTTTACTGATGATGACCTACCACCATGTCCAAACCCACACCGGGATGCCATGGTCATCAAAATGGAGATCAATGATGTTGCCATACACCATACATTGGTTGACACAGGAAGTTCCGTGAACATAATGTACCTTGGCACTTTTGAAAAACTGAATTTTCCCAAAGTTAAACTACATCCTATCAAGACCCCGCTATCTAGCTAGGTTCACAGGTGACTCTGTCGAGGTTGAAGGAGTCATCACAGCCCCGATGGAGATAGGGGACACGTCCCATAAAGTGAAGCTTGACATGGAGTTTGTCATGCCCCAGATCGTGTTTGTGCTACGTGGACAACCGTCATACAATCCAATAAGAATAACCGCAGTTCATCCTTACCGAATTGCACAAGACGTCTGATAGATACATATGCCAAAATGGTTAGTAAACATACATAACAGAATCAACATACAATTAAACACATAGCAGAATGTAAGTGTTTAATAAGAACCCACACAAGGGCAAAACAAGATCTCACAGGCTCAATTAATTTATAAGTCAAAATAGTTCCATGAGCGTTAATTATTTATTTAGAAATAGAACAGGAGGAAGCATAAACCACGTATTCTCTCCATCGATCTCCCGAACAACGGATGCATGAAGCAAGCTCTAACTTCAACTTGAAATGGTGGTCCCCCCGAGGGGTCAGTACTACAGAAAAGTACTGGCGAGAGCAAACTATATGTAACATTACTAACGTTTCAAACCTAAGACCCTCAAGATAAGGTGATAATATATTTATGGTCGTAACTACTAGCTACCCCTTTTTAAAACATATCGTATATATGAATATGAGTCAAATGTCCGGCCCGTGGGTCCATTTTGTCTTTCAAAACATTTAGGCACAATAGCCCCATTGTATTCAACCTTCCCATGTCTTACCCTCGGATGGAGTTACCTACAGGTCAACTCACCCGATATCAAAAGATAAATACCCGTGGGTGGCCCTTTGGGCTCCCCAATCACGGACATGGTTTAAATCAATTTCTAGTCCAAGAAAAATATTATATCGGGAACTTGTCCCCGACCAAGCATATTCAATCATTTAAAGTTACTACCCTGAGGTTCACCTACCTTGAGTGTTGGGATTGGAAAATTCTTCTATTCAATATCAATAACAGAATTACAATAGGAGGAGTAAACTCTCACACTCAACTATTACAAAAAACCAATCCTCACTAATACACTTCTACTCTAAGTGTATTTCACTCTTCACACATTTTTCTCACTTTAGAAACTGATGCAATGAACAACAATAGAACACTCTATTTATAGGGCTAGTTCGGAGACAAGAGGTAATGCTTCCATCTTCTTCATATCTTCTCTCATATCTATTTGTTAGAGAGCTCTTCGAAGAAGGTGCTTCCATGTTAATGTGTTTCCTGGAAACTTCCAAGAAAGAAGGTGGAGGATCCCTACAAATCTCCCTCTCCACCTTTTTCTTTATTTCTCTCATTCCTACAATGCTCACTGGCTCCTCCACGCTGGCAACAAGTATCCATTCAGATGTGGAGTATTTTCTCTGTGGAACTATGCCTCGCATAGAACGTCGAACATGAGTACCTTCAGCTTCGTCTTCACATGAAGGCTCCCCCTGCTGAGGAATATCATCATTGTGAGCATCATCATCACCTACTGAACCATCACTCTCTTGTTCAGTAGTATCATGCATCTCCTCGTTGTTGAGAGGAATGTTTGATGATACAGGGACTTCGTCTTCTGGAGTATGTTGTTTGTGGATTACTAGAGCACACTCATGAAACAAGTTTTCATGAAATACAACATCTCTGATTCGTATAACTTTCTTCACTTCGGGATCCCACAATCGATATCCGAATTCTTCATCTTCGGGACAAGCTTCTGTCTCAACTTCTTGGACACATGTGCAAATGCCTTGCACCCGAACACTTTCAAGTTTCAAGTGAGAGTAAGAAACATCTCTTCCTTACCATTTCTTCTCTAGCACTTCAAAGTTTAAAGGAACAGAAGGTGACATGTTTATAGGATAACAAGATGTCAGCACAGCTTCACCCAAAAATGGCTTAGGTAGTTTGGCATAGTCAACATGCAACAAACTTTCTCCACAATAGTTTGATTCATTCTTTCGACTACACCATTGTGTTGTGGAGTTCGTGGAACCGACTTCTCATGTCTGATTCCATATGCAACACAATATGCTAAGAATTCTCGATAAGTGTACTCTCCTTCATTGTCTGAACGTAGACACTTCAACTTCTTTCTTGTTTCTCTTTCTACCATGGCATGAAATAGTATGAAACGATCAAACACTTGATCCTTACTCTTTAAACAGTAAGCCCATACCTTTCGTGATGCATCATCAATGAATGTCACAAAGTATCTGCTTCCTCCAAGTGACTGTTCTTCAATTGGTCCATATACATCAGAGTGGGTAAGAGTGAGTAACTCTGAATGATTCTTTCTGGTAGAACTAAAGGAAACCCTATGTTGTTTCCCAAATAGACAGTGCTCCCATGGATCTAGGGCAACACCTTTGCCCATGGAAATGACTTCCTTCTTTGCAAGAGTTGTCAGTCCCTTCATAGTCAAGTGGCCTAGCCTCCGGTGCCATAAGTTTGGTGATGTCTCTTCTTCAAGAGCAATGAGACTTGGATGACACAACTTTGCATGAGTTTTATAAAGAGTACCACAAATAGGGGTGGACCTAGGCCGGGATGGGACGGTTCCGGAACGGGCCTAGGCCCGGGCGGTTTTTTTTTTTTTGGAATGTTGGGCCCGGAATCGGCCCGGGTTTATACCGGGTCCGGGCTAAACCGGGTGGGGCCGGGTCAGGCCCGGTGCTATGTATTTTTTTCGGCTTTCTAAATAACCCCCGACCCCCCTCCCTCAGCCCCCCCCCCCCCAAACCCCCCAAAACACCCAGCCCTACCCAAGGAAAAGAAAAAAATTGAAAAAACAAAAAAAATTGAACCGGGCGCAGCCCGAACCGCCCGGGCCGGTTCATGAAAATCATGGCCCGGAACCGGCCCGTCAGAACCGCCTAAACCGGGGTAAAGCCCGGAACCGGCGATCCGGGCCCGATCCGGGCCGGGCCGCACAGTAGCGGGCCAGTTCGGCCCGGTTGGGTTCATGCCTAACCACAAATATGGCCTCTTGCAACAATCAAGGAACCTTTAGATAACTTACACGTAACTTGTTTTAATAGGTTAATATATCCTTGATGATCCAGAGCTGCATAGGAGAGAAGATTCAATCTAAGATCCGGAACGTGTCGAACATTTTCCAGAACCTGGTGTTTCCCATCTTCACAGCTCCAAAGTCTCCAGACTTATAAGAATTGAATAAGTTCTAGTGTGGAGTAGCATGAAATGATGTGGCTGTACCAATCATCCACTCAACATCATGGGTACCTATGTGTAAACATTCTTGTTCATCATGTGTAACAAGTGTCACGCCCTAGACCGCATCTAAGCACGTGTACAACCGTCGTATGACCAAGTGACGTCACTCGCAAGTCAATGTGACTTAATCATACAAGGCGTCCATTAACATAATTCATCCATACTCAGTAGTAAACATACATAACAACATCACATTTAAAGCAATGAATAGCTGAAATATTCAACGGTAAAGCATGGGCCACAACCGGCCAAAACATGGGCTCATAGGCCCAAAATAGTTTATAGTAAATTAAATATCCATGAGCAAGTGTTTGGTAGTTTGAAAGGAAATAAGGAAGCATGAACCATGTCTTCCTTGAGTTGACTTCACCCGTAAGAAGGTGCAGGTCGCAAGCCCTAACTTCAACCTGAAAATGGTGGGGGCCCTGAAGGGGTCAGTACAAGTATCGAGCGAGTAGCAAGCTAAATGTAGAATGACTAACGTTTCAAGTATAAGACCCAAACATAGGGTGATACATACACGTATAATCCTTTCCCCCAAGATATAAAATACATATCAGTATATATACACTTGGAAATACCTGACTCATAGGTCATCGTTTATTTGAGAAAATAGTAATAGTCAATATCCTTGAATCAAATCCCAAACCACCCATAAACCAATGAGTGTATAGGACTCCTCCTGGTCTTAATCAATTCACATTCCGAGTTTTAAGGACCGTACCGTCGTCTTGGGTTCTCCACCATTTATACATATGAGTTTTGAGGACAGTGT